AGTGGAGTTTTGTGCTAGGTCAGATCCTGTCCCCAGTGGCTGCTGGAGAGGGCAGTTGTGTGGTGATGAGAGCCGGGCTCGGAAGCAGCCTTCCTGGAGTAGCGTGTGTCCTGGCCACGTGGTCACTAGGTTCCCCCTAAGCAGCTCCTCACTGACTGAGTAGGGATGGAAACCTGGGCTGGGAAGAGGGTGAGATGAACACTTAAAGCACACACGGCAGCGCCTGGCAGAGAAGTGTCCCATAGATGCTCGTTATTAATGGCGATATGTTAATCCTAGCAATCCAGAGTTCCCCATTGGGTAACCCAAGTGCTTGTCAGATAAATTTGAAGTTTTAAAGACTTGCTTCCCCTCATGAGACCATTGTGCTTGTTGTCATTGAGAGTCAGTGGGTCTCACAGTTGGAAATCTATTGTATTGCATGTCAGAAGGGACTGTGTTTCCTCTGTAAGTACTGTGCTCTGGGAAGAAGGAAAGAATACATCCCCTCTTCATTTTCTGCTGTCACACTAGAACTGCGGGGCTGAGAGCATCAGAAGGCTGTTGATGGTGGTTGGACGAACAGTTTTTGTTAGCTTGCTATTTCTTAAAATACTTCGCTGGAAAGTTTCCGAATTGTTGAAGAAATCATGTCATTTAATTTTGATTTTGACAGTCTGAAGAAAAATTATTTTCCATGTTGCCTTCCTTTCACCACCTACAAATGGGCCATTTGTGCTGGGCTTGTTCAGGGTCCTCCAGGGAGTGGAGCTCCCCACCAGGCACAGACGTCCATTTCACCACTTCAGGCTGCATTTTAGGACCCGCTGGATGCATCAGGGTGTGCTTGGATTCACCCAGGAGTACTTTAATTGCATTTCATTCTAAAAGTCATCTCTACATTTAAAGGCAATTTTGGGTATTTCTGCTGTTCCTTGGTAACAGAGTACAATGAAGGAAATTTTCTTAACTTGCCTGTTTTCTTTCACTACCCCCAAATCATAGCCTATTAAAATGAAATCTAAAGAACTGAATTGAAGCCTTTGTTTTTGGAAAGTCTCTGCAGATCATCCTTTTGCTTTCAGCAAATAAACTCAGGTTATATACCATAACTGCTGTAAACACTGAGTACGTCCGTGAATATCAAATAGGTTTCTTCAGGTTATTTGTAAAACCCCATGAAGCAGATAAGCTGGATGTTAATGTGTCTGCTTACTAGTGCTTTTGACATTACTCATAGAGAGTGCGTTCTTTTTTCTATTTTCTGAGATAGACATTTTTTAAATGAACATAAATACATGGGTGTATTGGGGAGGATCTAAAGTCATGGAATGTGTCATGTTGCTAATGTTTCCTTTTTAAAAATTTTTGTTTGTAAATATAGTTACCTCGTGTCTTCCCTGGCTATGGAAGTAGTTATGGAGGTAATTGTTAAATACAGCTGAAAAGACCATTTATCACTCTGAACAAACAGAAATCAGGTTCTAGAACCAGATTGAAGAAGGAAATTACATCACACTCTTAAATGAGGAAGCACTGGGCAGAACTGGATGAGCTGTATGACAAAAATGTGCCCCTCCTCCTCCTGTGGATTGCTCCTGAGACTTATTAATGAGATCTGGTGGTAAGGTGAGCCTATCTGGGTTACTGCCTTAAGGTAGCCTGGGAGAGAGAGAGACAGTGTAAAGAGTAGTTTCAAAGAGTATCTGCAAGCTAAAGGCATGTGATTTCACCTTAATGAAGGTGTGCAGTATGACTTTGGTATAGTTTTGTTTTTTTTTTAAGGAAGGTTACCTTAAATTTAGCAGTAAAAACACATTAGGTACATTGTAGTTAAGAAGGAGTAGTGTGTAAGAGAAGGAAAAATTCATTGTTTCATTAAGCTCTGCCCTAATGGCTTCAGGTAAATTCAGAGTCATAGAAGCTAAATTAGAAAGCTGTGTTAAGCATTGAAACTTAAAAGTTTTTACTCCACCTACCCTGTCCGCTTGGATTTCCCCAGCCTGTTAAATTATTATTGGCAGTCTCCTCACTCCCTTACAAATCTTCCGTTTTTCCTTTTTAGCTCTTAGCTGACTTACAGCCCTGTGAGACTGTCACTTATGTAGGTACACTCTAGAAATGAGTCAGCATCTTACCAGTATCCATTTAATCAATATCTGTTAGAAGGAAATGATGCCAGGATGGGGGCCGGATACATCAGACACCAGGCTCAGCCTAGCGTATGGGGACGGTGGGAGGGGAAACTGGCCTAGCGCAAAACAATCCCAGAACAGACACTGCTCTTCCTCACAGCAAGGGTTCGAGGGGAACGGGTTGTATGAGGAGTGGGCCCGAGGGCAAAGCCGGATGCAGATGGATTTGGAGAGGCAGAGGCAGGCCTGCCCGCTGTGCTGTCCATGGAGGCCTCTGGCAGGCGGGTTGGACCACCTGGCTCGCCTGACAAAGGAACTGTCACGAGCTGCATATAAAATACATAATTATATAAGCAGCAGGGCTGCCTTTGTTTAGGGTATTTTTATTGTAACAGGTATGTAAAGGCTCACACACATGCAGGTGGAGGAGGTTCTGGTTAGGAGCCCTTGTGGTTCTTGAGTGGTGAAGCTGTTGGTCGGAGCAGTCTGTGAGAACTGTTGATCTGACACTGGGTGTACTATGGGTTATTTTCAGGCCTGAGGCACGTGCGACTGGAGGGCAAATCAAGTGGAGAACAAATGTGGACACTTTGGGGAACTTGGCAGTTGAATGTGTATCAGCCTTAACTCAGGTCGGAAGCAGTGCCTCTAGGAGACGTGTGACCCCCCTGGACCACGAACTGGTGTTGCGGGGTGCAAAATGTGAAAAGAGGAGTCTGGTTTGTAGAGTTTAAAATGCCAGCGGCCCGTCCAAGTGGAAGGAGAATCACCAGACAATAGGGAGTCAGAGTTGAAGCTCGGGCCAGGCTGGAACCATCTATTCAGGGACTTGCAGAGCTGAAGCCACAGAAGGGAGGTAGAACTTGGGCGGGGATAAAATGAGATCCTCCAGAAGCACAGGATTTAAAGCTCCCACACCTTGAGTTAAGATGAAAATCAGTGATGTGAACAGAAAACAGCAGTCCTTATCTGGAACTGGCATTTAAGTGCATTTTTGACCCACTGAAAAAAACCAAAGCTTAGTTCTTAAGTGTAAGAAAAGCCGTCATTGCTGTGTTTGGACCCTGTCTGCACTGTTCTGCCTGGATTTAAACTCACGTTTTCTGTTTCTGCATTCCATAACAGTGCCATCTCATCCTTTCAAGTATTGATTTTTCTGACATAGGTAGCTTTTTTGCAGTTGTTTTCCTAATGAATTATAAAGCAGAACTAGTTTACAGTTGTAAGGAGCGACATAACATTTGACACATACAGCACCAGATTTCACTACAGCAGGATTTCTTTCTAGCTTGCACTTGGCCAGATTGACTTTTCTTTCCTACACACACACACACACACAATGGACTGAATACTGGGTGTTCAGAGAGGTGGAAAAGCATTTCAGGTGGTTTCATGCCCTCAGTTTTACAGTCTGAAGAACAATTTTTTAAGTTTTCTTACAAACCTATGGCATATTGCTCTTTTTGGGTCTCCAGCCTGAAGTTATTTTCCTGAAGAAGAGAACATGGCAATTATATCGCCCTCCTCACTTCTCCCATGCAAGCGAGTAGGAAGTTTGGACAGTTTCATAACACGGCCCATTCACAATTCCCCATTGAAATTTAGAGGCAGGTCACCTTCTATGAATACACAAAGACACTATTGTGGTCAGAAGTGAGCAGGCTTAGTGAACACAATTCTTTTTATACTAAAAAATTTTTTTTCTTAAGAAAGCTAACAAGTAGGTGATAGAAACAATGAATAAAAAATAACTTTTTCTAGAACGTATAAATAATTTTAAGTGACCATTGAAATGTAAGTTTAGAATCCCAAGGCAATTTCAGCAGAGGCCGTGTTACACAATCGTGTTCTGTTGAAAGCTTCAGATGTGGAAGGCACTGGGAGGCTGACACACAGTAATTACTAGTAGTACTCGTTGGCTTGCCCACAGGTGGGGGTTGGGCTCCAGAACCCCCGCAGCATTTTCCTCCAATCTGGATGAACAATCTTCAAACGTGTGCTTCCAAACCACTTAAATACCATATTCCTCTTCCTATCTTGCCTTTCATTTTTTATATCACCACAGATACTTTCGCTGCAGTCTTGCCAGTGCTTGTAGAATGCTTAGAAAAAGCATCATAAGCCACTGGGCTAAGTCCCCAAAGTACATCAGTTTTGAAGTTTTATACAGCTTTACCTGGTGGTAAATAATACATTTGCTCCATTTTTGGTCTGAAGCCACCCTCAAAGCCCTCCCAGTGATTGAGATTTCTTCAATGGCAGATTTTTTAAAAATCATGTATCTTTGAAAGGCTGATTTTAAGAAAAATAATGCTTGGCTATTTGCAATAATACTTTAAACTTAGCATGAGACCTGTTGCCTCGCATGGCAGAGCAGCTGACTAGGAGAGGAAATACAGAGACAGTAACTAGGACCTGTCTTTTGTCACTGAAACTCTTAACCAGCAGAACATCGCTCTCTCCACCTTCCTTTCTAGTGTGGAAAAAACACAGATGATAAACACTTGTATTTTTCTAGATCTTCACGTAACACCACATCTGTTCCGTTGATGTCGATGATAAGGCGATGGCGTACCCTCATCTTTAACACTCATTGGGCACTTGCTAACGTGATGATTACAAGCTGACTGGGGTGCAGCCTCTGTCCCTGAGCTCGCAGGCTAGTAAGAGGTGACAGATTTGTAAATAATAGATTTTACCTTGTTGAGCAATTCTAAAACCGCGCACCCCACCCCCTCTGCAGGGGTGGCGGTGTCACCCTCATGGCATCTGCGGTCTTCAGCCCGGCGCCAGTGCTTGTAGGTGTGCAGATATTGAGTGAGAGCGAGAAAGTGTCGTCGCTCATACGCACACCCCCCAGGGTCCTTGCAGGGGCGGGTGACAGAAAAGAGCCCAGACATGGAGTGCGTGAGAACGTCTGAAGGCAGGAATGGGTGCTAATTCACACTTGATGCTGCAACAGATATTAAAGGAAGTTCAGAAGAGGCCATGGGGACTTCAGACTGTAACACTGGAAAGGGAGGGATTCCTAAAGTTTAAGATAAAATGTACTTAGCCTTTATACTTAGCAGCGAGGCAGGGCATGAAATTCTGGGCATCTGACAAGGAGAATGTGAAGAATGTACCCTTAAGTTTGTCTTTGAAAGGGAGGACACTGTACCACCAAAGCCAGTAATCTTGCAAAACTTGATTTTCACAGGATGATGGAAATTAGGATCTTCACATAGGACTGTTGCTTGAGGAAGTAGTAACTGGAGAGTATGTCTTCCACGGCCAACCCCGAGCACAGACTCAAGTAAACGCTAGGCCGCGGGGCAGTCAGGCACCAGGACTGTAGTAATCTTGAGTGTCACATTTACTGAATACTGGGGCTGCGGTATGAAATCCAGTATTTTTCTGAATTTACTTTGTTAGCTTGGGAAAAATAAGCTGGACTCACTTGTGCTTCTTGCCCATTACAGCCTTGCCTTAGAACAGTGGTGGCAAGCGCATTGTTTTTCTTATGTTAAGACAAGAAATGTTAACTCTGAGTTGTTTTTTTCTAAACTAAAACCTCAGTTCTCAGGTTTAACTGCAGTGTTGACACTTCGCGATGAGCACTTTGGCGCTCGTCTCTAAAAGGTTTGTCACCCCTGCCTTAGAAGGTGGCTCCAATGGGCAGGGGTTGGGGTGCTTTGGATGGGGAGCCTGGCCTGTTGCGCAGCAGGCTCTGCAGTGAGGTCTGTTTCGTTGGTGATGGATGCCCCTCATTGTGCGGAGACATTTCCAATCTTGGATTGATACGTAGATGTGTTGGTGCATATATGTATTGGCACGTACATTTACCCTCAGAAGTAAGGTGTGAAGGCCGGCAACTGAAGTTTTCTAGCCCATACCTCTCAAATTCTCTAATGTTACCTCATTTATGCCGTAATTTAGAGTATTCTAATATATTTCTGAATTTTTTTCCCTGATCCTTTCCTCCCTTCTTGATCTCCCTCAGGGAATGAAAGCTACTGGCTGACTTCAAACCCTGGGCTTCACAGACTTGGGAGACATCCCAGAAAAAGGCACAATGTCCACAGCAGGAGTTGCTGCTCAGGAGATTCGAGTCCCATTGAACACTGGGTTCCTGCACGATGGCCAGGCCCTGGGGAGCACTGAGACCTGCTGGGACAGTCGCAGTGAGTTTGGAAAGTAAGCGGAGGGTGCGACACCGCTGGCTCATGAGTGACGTGTGCAGAGCACACTGGCTGCTGGACTGTGACTGAGCTGTTTTCCTCTCCTTTCCTTTCAGTTCTTTCTTAAACATCGACCCCATCAGCATGGCCTACAGTCTGAACTCCCGGACCCCGGGGCCCCTGCCATCTGTCAGTACGTATCCTGCGGTGCCCTGTGCGGAGGGACACGGCCTGGGAGAGGGGCTGGCTGGTCCCTGAGCCGTGTCCAGCGTCGCCTGACCCCTAGTGGCAAGAGAGCGCAGATAGTTGTGTCTCCGGGGCCTGACTCCTGTGAGAACCTGGGGAGTGTGATCTTCTCCCATCCAGGATTAGTTCTCTCCAGCTGCACTGCGTACTTAACCTTCTGAAACATCTTCATTTGTGGCAGTGAATGAAAATGTTAGGTGAGAGTAGTGTTCGTGGTCATCACGGCTTAGGAAACTGTGTTGTACGTGGTGCTGTGGGTGTGGACACCGTGTTCCTCAGATTGTCGGGCAGCTTATCGGGGCACCTCTGCACGCGAGTCCATTCTGTGTTGTGAAGTGCTGGCAGTGAGGACCTCTCACCTCACTCACGCCCACCTGCCCTGTATTGTGTCTCAAACGGCAAGGCTGGCATAGCATGGTGCTCGGGGAAACGACATGCTGCTCACCCTTGCATTCCACACACACCACAGAGCTGGCCTGAGATGCGTGGGTGTGCACCATGCACACGTCCAAGGGAGACGAGCAGATGACTTGTTCTTTGAACCAGGTCACATGTGTTCACCATCTTGTGGCTCGAATCACCCCTGTGGTGGTGCCTTGGGTGCCTCAGGGCTGCCGGGGCAGAACGTCGAGCTTCACAAACACCCCTTGTCCCTTCCAGGGCACACCGCGCAGCCTGTTCCGATGAATGGCCACCGCTTTGCAGAAGTTGGGCCCTCCCACAAGTCCAGCCTGCCCCCTCTCATCATTCCCCCGGGCGACAGCCTGGGACAGGGCGAAGAGGACCAAGTCGTGTGTGGCTTTAAGAAACTCTCAGTGAATGGGGTCTGCACCTCCACTCCCCCGCTCACCCCAATAAAAGCCTGCCCTTCCTCGCTTTTCCCCTGTGCAGCACCCTGTGAACGGGGCTCCAGGCCCCTGCCTCCGCTGCCCATCTCCGAAGACCTCTCTCTAGACGAGACTGACTGTGAAGTCGAGTTCCTGACCAGCTCAGACACAGACTTCCTCTTGGAAGACTGCACGCTTTCCGATTTCAGATATGACCTTCCTGGCAGGCGAAGCTTCCGTGGGTGTGGACAGATCAATTATGCATATTTTGACACCCCCAGTGTTTCTGCAGCCGATCTCAGCTGTGAGCCTGATGAGCACGGAGGGGTCCCCAGTCCCAACCCTCCTCCTCCTCAGACCCACCGCAGGCTGAGGAGGTCTCACTCCGGCCCTGCCGGCTCCTTCAACAAGCCGGCCATCCGCATATCCAGCTACACGCACCGAGCCTCGCCCAACTCCGACGAAGGCAAGCCCGAGGTCCCCCCCAGGGTCCCCATCCCTCCCCGGCCAGTGAAGCCAGACTACAGGAGGTGGTCGGCAGAAGTGGCCTCCAGCACCTACAGCGACGAGGACAGGCCTCCCAAAGTCCCCCCAAGAGAACCTCTGTCCCGGAGCAACTCCCGCACGCCGAGCCCCAAAAGCCTTCCGTCTTACCTCAACGGGGTCATGCCCCCAACCCAGAGCTTCGCCCCAGACCCCAAGTACGTCAGCAGCAAGGCCCTGCAGAGACAGAACAGCGAGGGCTCCGCCGGCAAGGCTCCCTGCATCCTGCCCATCATCGAGAACGGCAAGAAGGTGAGCTCCACACATTACTACCTGCTCCCTGAGAGGCCGCCGTACCTGGACAGGTATGAGAAGTTTTTTAGGGAAGTGGAAGAAGCAAACCCGAGCACCCAAATCCAGCCGTTCCCTGCTGACTGTGGCATGGTTTCGGCTGCAGAAAAGATGGACTCGAAGACAAAAGCCGAGCCGGGGGGCCATGCGAAGCGCAAACACTTATCCTACGTGGTCTCTCCCTAGACTTGGGGCTCGTGGTGCAGCGGAAGTGAAACATGGGGCAGGTGGTTCCCCGTTTTCCAGCTTGACTGAGGTCCACAGAACAGTCTGTCGGATTGCGAAACACAACAGTGGAACTCTGTCAAAAAGAACAGTGGAGGACAGCTGTGAGGTGCTGTTATGCCAGGAGTCCTTGATTTGTTAGTGTTGGAGAAAAGGTTTATTCAGGCTTATAATTTAAAGATGTGATGGTGGGAGGGAAGGACGGGAAACTTTTATATATGCTACACTATATGCCTATGTATAAACTCATGGTATAACCATAGACCATAGCTGCAGGTTAACTGATTAGTCACTGTCTTAGAGTAATATATATTCAGAAGAAGAAAAAGCCAAGCCAGAGCAATGGCTCCTGACAGACTGGAAATTGAGCAAATGGGAGAAAAAAAGCAGTATTCTTTATATCAGAATCATTCAAAGAAAATTATTCTTGTCTAGTAAGTTTGGAGATTTCCGGCTCTCAGGCCTGCTACATTGTGTTCGTTTATTTTTGCAAGCCGCCTTCTCCGTGGAGGGCAGGGCAGGTTCTCGACCATGTCTGTATTGCCTGGCTTCTAAACCATCCCGAGACTCGTACCTCCAGGTTTTGCTTTCTGTCCCGTTGAGCAGAGGGACAGCAGTTTACTTGGCCCCCGTGTCACCACTGCACGTCTCACATCTTGAACAAAGAAAGATAAGCGAATCCACCACTGTTCCTACCGCTCCCGCTGGGTGCAGGGAAGTGGCCCGCGGTGCTGTGGGCCCCACGGTGGGCTCTGCCCTGTCACCCAGTCGGTACAGGCCCCACCCCGTGTCCCTGCGGCAGAGGGGGAGCCACAGCTGCGCCGGCGCGTTACTGTGTGGGGTGCGTGTTTTATTGTTTTTTTAGACTATTAATAAACAAATACAACACAAGCTGGCCTTGTGTTGCTGGTTCCTATTCAGTATTTCCTGGGGGTGGTTTGCTTTTTAAGTGAAACACTGACCAATAGCACAGTGTCTTAATGCCAGAAGTCCCGTCAGCGTCTTCCTGCGCTGAGTGCACGGCTGGGTGCTTCGCTGCGCTAGACCCGGGGAGAGAGACCCAGCCTGCGCCCCTTCACACCCTCTGCTGCGTTTATCTGGTCTGGACAAGCCGAGAGAGAAGGTGCTCGCTAACAGACGAACATGACCGCGATGTTCTCCTAACAGATAAACGAGCTGTTTACAGTTGAAACTGCTGAATATTATTTGAGCTATTTAAAGCTTATTATATTTTAGTATGAACTAAATGAAGGTTAAAACATGCTTTAGAAAAATGCACTGATTTCTGCATTATGTGTACAGTATTGGACAAAGGATTTATTCATTTTGTTGCATTATTTTGAATATTGTCTTTTCATTTTAATAAAGTTATACTACTTATTTATGACACCATCAATAATGTTTCTTGCCTTAAACTCTTATAAAAAGTCTTGGTTTGACAACCTAATCATTTTTAAACAGGAGGGAAGATTCTCTGAGGTTTATGTTGGAACTTACTGTAGTTTTCTGAAAAGTCGAGGGATTCTATTCTAGTCAGTGTAAGTCACTGTCTGCATTTACCTGTGATGATGAGGGACATGAACTTCATTCTGGTGTTGCTGTCAGAACAGTTACAGGGTGAGGGTGCTATGGGGTCCCCGTCTGTAGTCACAAGCTCCGTCTGCACCCCAGTTCTGGTTTCCTGGGTGGGAGTGGCAGCCTCAGGGACCTACACTGCTTGATGCTCACCTGAATCCAGAGGGGACTCAGTTGGCCTGGGCAGGAGCCGGGCGCAGGTTACTCAAAAGGCCCCACCCACTCTCCCGGGGTAAAGCGTGTGTGGGGCGTGTTCCTGCTGCGTGTGAGCTTTTTCTAGTCCTTGGTGTCCGGCCTCTGGGCTTGGGAAGCTCACTGAACAGTCGAGGTATCAGCCACAGCCGGGTCCTGGGGACGGAGACAAGCCCCTTACTGGATTAAAGCTGTGCGGCCTAGGGGAGGTGTCGCGGCAGAAGGGACCTTGCGTCTGGGTGACAGGGTCTGCAGGGCAGGGAGTGAGAGTCTGTCTGTCTGGCCCTGGAGCCGGAAAACACAGCAGGTGCCAGAAGCAGCAGTCCCGGCAGGCCAGGCTGGGTGAGGCAGTGTGCGCCAGCCCAAAGCTCCCAGCAGGAGAGGAGCACGGTGTGACGTGTGGGAGAAGAGATGACTGGCTGTCACATGGTGGACATGGCAGAGAAGCAGAACGTGACAGGGACCCAGCCGAGGCCGGGCAGGGAGGTGGGAGAAACTGTCGCCTCAGAAGATCCCTGGGAGGCGGAAGCAGAGCAGGGCCGCTCGGGGACTCTGCCTGTCCTGGTGCAGGCAGAGGACGTCACATGGCAGCAAACGCTTGATGGGTGATGGCACAGCACCTCTCCTGTACCTTCGCTGTCTCGCGGTGAAGAATCTCTTTCTTTAGTTCCAACTTTCTTCCCTCTGCATTTTTCTTGATTTTGCAAGAATCTACTTTTCCCAGCCACACAGGTGTGCCCAGCCGCCATGCTGACGCCCAAGGCCGCACCCCAGGCAGGTGACGTCCATGGCGTCCCTGTGCCGAGGACAGGTCAGTCTCGGCCCTTCCAACTCGGCTGCGGCTCCGTGCAGGGCTGAGCGCCCTCAAACCCCATCTGGTAACAAAGCACTGGCTTATGTCAGGGAAACCAGGCCGTGATCCTGACCTCAGCCTCCACATAAACCCACGCAGCCCTCGCTCTTCCTCAGAACCTGTGAGACCGCATCACACCATTCCCCACCACCAGGGACCTCCCCGCAGGGCACAGCCGCCTGGGCGGAAAGGCTCTGAAAGCAAACTCAGAGTGCAGCTACAGACCCACCACTTCCAGCCTGCAGGAACCAGTGTGGCCTGTTTTGTTGTAGCCAACACCAACACCGTGCTGAAGAAGCAGTACTGTGTGTTGTTTAGTTCCCGTCTAGGTCTTGAGATATCTTCACTATGCTATAAAAAAGAACTAATTTTGAGTGGATATTTCTTCACTGCTAGGAGCCTTATTAAAAGATGAAAAAATTTCTAAGATAATTCATAGTTTATTAAAAAAGAGCCATATCCAATGGTCTCTAAAGCATGTATGTATTTGTTGGTGGTGTTGGTGCTGGGGATGGAACTGGGGGCTTCACACATACTAAACACTCTCTCTGCCGCTGAGCTATATCCCTTGCCCCCAAACCAAAACATGATTTAAACTATTCTCCATTTTAATTCTTCATTTCCTTACATAATTAATCGTCTAAGGGGGCAATGGAGCTTTTTTTTTCCCCCTTAAAAGGAAAGCTTCCAGCAGTTATTTCACACATGGGCTTTTTAACCTTATCTTGAAATAGACTCTCCTTTCAAAAATAGGAAAGGTCCCCTGTCCTCATCTACCCAGAGTTTACCGATGAGAACATATTATCCAATCCTGGAAATTAACACTGGCCCTTGGGCCCGGGATCTAGCTCAGTGGTGCCATACTTGCTTTGCAAGCTCAAGGTCCTGAGTTCAATCCCCAGTACCAAAAAAAAGAGGCCCAGTATTTTTATTTAGAAAAAGTCCCTATCAAAACGATCTCCAGGCCAGGCATGGTGGTACACGCCTATAACCCCAGCACTCGGGAGGCTGAGACAGGACTGCCATGAGTTGAAGGCCAACCTGGGCTACACAGCGAGACCCTGTCTCAAAACAAGAAAATAACTTTGGCTCTACTTTTAACAATTAATTTAGGCATTCTGTTAGGCATTTATAAAAGTTAACTAACCCTTAAAAAGATTTTGTCACATAGATACATGATGCTTGCTGTACCCGGAAGATAAAACTGCTGTGTTAGCTTGGATCTGCCACGGCTTCCCCAGGACTGGGTTAGCAAAGTCTTTAACATTTGAGAATTCACGAATGGCTTTTCCTTGAAGGCCTCCAGAGATCCACAGCCTTGAAGTCCCACATTTCTTCATCTCCAAGCATGACAAGCCAGGAGACAAAAGCGTTCATTTCTAATCCAGTCCTAAAGCTCTGAAGTACTCTCTTGTCCTAAAGAAAGTCAGTCTTGTTCAAACTCAGACGCACTCAGGGACTTCCTGTCTCTGCAGACTGGGTCACTTCACAGTGTCCTGGCCCCTTCACTGGGCTGCACGGGAATCACACAACTTTTAAGAGCAGTTTTGGGGCTTTCTCAGTAAATAAAAGCTGCTCTGGAAGCGGGTCAGAGGTCCCGGTGCAGCACACTTGGCTGGCCTCTCCTCTTGTGCCCTGTCACTCCACAGAAGGGAGGTTAGGTTCGCCTGATGCAATCTGCTCATTGGGAGGATGTGATTTTTCTTGCTTTTCACTCGAAAGTGGCAAACTTCAAGACACTTCTACCTAAGCCACCAGGAATCTGCAGCTGCCACGTGTTTAAACAGCTCCCTCTGCTTTTGTTATCTGCCTGGAATTCCGAGTAGTAAACACTTGTGTGTGCTTTTCTGCACCCAAGCAAATCAAGTACATCAGAGCAGCCCATAACTATCACTTATCTGTTCCTCAGCATCTGGCACATGACAGCAGAAGGGTCCTTCTGAGTACTAGTTTGCACTGTCTTCCGAAGACAGCACTGCCATCAGGCCACTGGCCTAGCGTGCCTCTCTTGTGCTGTCACCCACATGCTGATACCATACCCTGCGAGGAGCCCAGCCCCAGAAACCCCAGCGAGTCCACCCAGCCAGTCTGCCCCCTTTCCCGTGAAATGGAAAAGCTGGCGTCCCAAAGAACCAGTCCTCAGGAGCGCGCATGACTGAACTCTTGCTCAAAAGACGGCACCTTCATTCCTTGCAGATAACTTTGGATCTACGTCAGTAAACATCTTAATCACACGCCTCACACGCGTGGATTTCTTCATTTTACAGTCATGAGGGCTTCGCCCAGCGCCAGCGCCTGCCCCGAGACTGCCTGACTTCCGCACCCTCCCAAGTTGTGGCAGAGCTGGCTCTCCGCCCCGGTGCCAGCCTTCCTCTGGCTGTGCCTCAGAGCGGCCTCGGGCACAGCAGGCAGGAAGCTGTACTTTGTATATTTTGAATTCCTGGCTGTCCTCGTGTTCTTGGGTGAACTACTGTCCTTGTACACAGTGTCTCTGCCCCATAATTGATCAGCGTTCTTGGCTGAGCAGAAGCCAGCTGACAGTTCCTGCAGTCGGTGAGTAATGGGGCCCGGCTCGCCAGCTCCGGCTGCATAGGCAACGCGGGCACCCAGGGCAGCACCGGCGCAGGATGAGACTTGTCTGCGCACCGCCTCATCCCGGCCAGAGCCTCTAATTACATGCCTGCTGTCCTCTGGAGCCCAGGTGGCCTGCACCCCCCAGCCGAGTGGAGGCAGCACGGCTCGCCTCTCCCTGCCAGCGCAGGGCACCTCCGACTACTCCGTCAGTGGCAGTGCCCACATTCCAAAGCAAACAACAGCCCATTGAACCAAGCGCTGATGCTTTTTTTTTTTTTTAAATCATCACCTCTCCTTTATCTTCCTGTAGAAGCATCAAGCCCTAACTTTTTTGTTTTCACACCTCAGCTTTGCATTCACCCCCGAGTACAGTCAGGAATCTGTAGCCCCTTCAGGGTGGCTTTGTTTCCTGAGGGTGCCCTGGTCATCCCACTCACAGATTTCTCTCGCAGTTCCCAGTCATCAGGGCCTTGCTGTTTGCTGAGCACTGTGATCCCAGTCACTTGGGAGACTGAGGCAGGAGGATCACAAGTTTGAGGCCAGCATGGGCAACTTAACAAGATCCTATCTCAAAAAATAAAAAGGGCCAGGGGTACAACTCAGTGGTAGAGCACCTGGGTTCCATCTTGAGTATCTACCAAAAAGGAAGGCAGGTGGGTGTGTGGCTCAGCATGTACATGGCTCTGAGTTCATTTCTCAGCACAAAACAAAAGGAAATCTCCATCACACAGTGAAACACAGTAATTGTTGGTCCTGTCAAGATATCAGCTGTGTAGGGGGATTTGGAGGATAGCAGCCAGAAATCTTTGTTTTTTGTTTTTGAAGGTATAATGTTTTTCTCTTCCCAACTTAGTTAATGCTGAACCAGTTCAACTGTTCCTTTTTCAAGAATTCGTGGTCTTTAACAATGACAAATTGACAGCTCACCATTAGTCTCCTGGCAAGATGAGACTGCTAAGAATCTCCTAAAGAAACCCATTCACCCAACAAAAATGTTCCTTTAAAATTTTTCCTCTAAAGCCTGGAGTTGTTAGCCTGTGGCATCTTCTCATCTTGTACTTTTTCTCCTTGCATTGTATTCTTGAAGATTCTGTGTTTGAAAGTCACTGTTGTGGATAGTTTTCTCCAAACAACCCTGGCATAGGGGAAAAGAGGTCTTCCCTCCCACAGCGTGCATTATAATTCTGCCCT